ATAAATAAACATCCTTTTGGACCTTTAGTACATATTTGAGTGAGGATTAAACAAATAAATGAGGAAGTACTTTAATTTGAATGTGAATGAAATAAAAAGTTTACGCATTAAAATGTTCAAGTCTACTCGAGGGATTAGTTTAGTGATATCTTAACCATCTGATAAATATCTTGACGTAATATAAGGAAAAAATTTAAATATTTTATGAATGCATATACCTCTTGAGACCACTGCCCTTAAATTTATACCCTTGTAGGGAATGACATTTTGTTTAAGGTTCAACGATAGTCTAATGAATTCATTGAGATAGCTGGGATACGAAAGAAAAAAAGAATTTCCAAGTCCATCTTAGACCAAAAGCCAAACACTAAAGGTGCCCACCATGTGCAGGGTTTGAACCTGTCAGCCGCTCATGCAGGTCTAAATTCCGGTCAAGCCGGGAGAGGACAAAGCAATCTCCCCTACCTAACCCAAATAAACATTTAGCTTCTATGTATTTTATATTAGGATCCCACTAGGATACTGCCATATATTCTATCGTTAAGCGTGTTTGAACTAAATTATACGCACTTTGATTGATTTACTATCAAATATAGGTCATCCACATCAGGATTAGAGTATTTATGAGAGATAATTTTTTGTGACTTGACCCTAAGAAATTGTCAAGATTTGAATTCAGGGCGTCTCAATTTACAATTTATCTCTAGTATCACTTGAGTTATCCTTTAAGATTATTTCTTTATTTTTTTGTCCAATGTAAATGTAATATATGTGAAGTTTTGTTTTTTTATTTATAATCAATTAGTATAAATAAGTCAAATACAAAGTTTAAGGTGACAAACATTTATAGGTATATTATGGAAAGGTGATCTTTTAGGTACCATAGTAACATGTATATTAGGAGGAAAACTCCCTAATGGTCAATCACCCGATAGTGTGGAAGGAAAGATTTCGGAATTACTATTTTAAAATTTCAAGTTTGAGTCTTACAAAAGGTATGATTGTCCCAATGTCAATATTTTAATTGTGTGTAGTTTAAATTTACGTCCGAGCCTGAAGACTTAAAAAGTAAAAAAATTATGTTCAAAATTTAGTTGCATGTTTGATTGGAAATCAGATTAGAATCTTTGGGTGTGGCTCTGCCGATTGCTAATTGCTAATTGCTGTCTCATTCCTGGCTTGATAATCAACAGCTGTAGTTATATTATAAAGCGAAAATGACAATTTCTTATTCATCTGTGTACTTTGCAAAAAGATAAGCATTAACTCTCGTGAAAGATTTGTATTTTTTTAAATTTAAGGGTTAATTATATTACAGGTATCCAAAATACGAAATTTGTCTTATTTTGATCTTTAATATTTTAATTTTATCATTTTCGTCTTTAAAGTATTGAATATATTTTTCTGTGGTCTCTCAAACAGACAATATTCAGATTGTTAACAATTTTTTATTATAAATTTGTCATGTGATATCTAAATATAAGTAAAAAAATAATTTGGCTAGTTTTTGACCAAATTTCTACCAAAATTTTGGTCATAAACTATCTAAAGTTGGATCAAGAGTTGTCGAAATTACATATTTTTTGTCGAGAGTTATCCAAATTATTTTTTTCTCAATATTTAAGTATTACGTGACAAGTTTTTGATAAAAAAAACTATTAGTATTTTGGATAATGTCTGTTTGAGGGACTACATATAAACATATTCAATACTTCAGGAATCAAAATTATGCAATTGAAATATTGGAGAGCAAAATAAGATAAACTTCATATTTTAGGATTTTCTAATGCAATTAATTTAAAAATCACGTAAATGAAAAAAAAATGATTTTTTGTAATTTTAAGTGAAAAATGGATATATTACATAATATTGGAGAATATAGGCTTTGCACGTGGAAATTAGCAATGCTGGAATTGGATAGTGAATGAACAAGAAATGGTGTATTCAGCACCGTCATGTTCACTGGCAATTTTCGGGTAGTTTTCCGTCACAGCTGGTCACATGGCCTACAAATTGTAGATACAAATCCACAAATTCAATATAAAATTGGCATAAAATTAATAGGTTTGANGGCGTCTCAATTTACAATTTATCTCTAGTATCACTTGAGTTATCCTTTAAGATTATTTCTTTATTTTTTTGTCCAATGTAAATGTAATATATGTGAAGTTTTGTTTTTTTATTTATAATCAATTAGTATAAATAAGTCAAATACAAAGTTTAAGGTGACAAACATTTATAGGTATATTATGGAAAGGTGATCTTTTAGGTACCATAGTAACATGTATATTAGGAGGAAAACTCCCTAATGGTCAATCACCCGATAGTGTGGAAGGAAAGATTTCGGAATTACTATTTTAAAATTTCAAGTTTGAGTCTTACAAAAGGTATGATTGTCCCAATGTCAATATTTTAATTGTGTGTAGTTTAAATTTACGTCCGAGCCTGAAGACTTAAAAAGTAAAAAAATTATGTTCAAAATTTAGTTGCATGTTTGATTGGAAATCAGATTAGAATCTTTGGGTGTGGCTCTGCCGATTGCTAATTGCTAATTGCTGTCTCATTCCTGGCTTGATAATCAACAGCTGTAGTTATATTATAAAGCGAAAATGACAATTTCTTATTCATCTGTGTACTTTGCAAAAAGATAAGCATTAACTCTCGTGAAAGATTTGTATTTTTTTAAATTTAAGGGTTAATTATATTACAGGTATCCAAAATACGAAATTTGTCTTATTTTGATCTTTAATATTTTAATTTTATCATTTTCGTCTTTAAAGTATTGAATATATTTTTCTGTGGTCTCTCAAACAGACAATATTCAGATTGTTAACAATTTTTTATTATAAATTTGTCATGTGATATCTAAATATAAGTAAAAAAATAATTTGGCTAGTTTTTGACCAAATTTCTACCAAAATTTTGGTCATAAACTATCTAAAGTTGGATCAAGAGTTGTCGAAATTACATATTTTTTGTCGAGAGTTATCCAAATTATTTTTTTCTCAATATTTAAGTATTACGTGACAAGTTTTTGATAAAAAAAACTATTAGTATTTTGGATAATGTCTGTTTGAGGGACTACATATAAACATATTCAATACTTCAGGAATCAAAATTATGCAATTGAAATATTGGAGAGCAAAATAAGATAAACTTCATATTTTAGGATTTTCTAATGCAATTAATTTAAAAATCACGTAAATGAAAAAAAAATGATTTTTTGTAATTTTAAGTGAAAAATGGATATATTACATAATATTGGAGAATATAGGCTTTGCACGTGGAAATTAGCAATGCTGGAATTGGATAGTGAATGAACAAGAAATGGTGTATTCAGCACCGTCATGTTCACTGGCAATTTTCGGGTAGTTTTCCGTCACAGCTGGTCACATGGCCTACAAATTGTAGATACAAATCCACAAATTCAATATAAAATTGGCATAAAATTAATAGGTTTGAATTTAATTTTAACATTTGTGTATAACAAATGAATATATATATATATATATATATTTTTTTAGTTAATGGGTATTCAAGCTTGTGCTGACTATTCCTTAAATTTTGAGTTGATCATTTTAATTCGATCTAGTTTAAAAATATATCTCCTGAAAAATAAGGGTGATTGCCTTTAAAAAGTGTAAAAAATATTGAACATAAAATCTCTTGCTTAGGAGGATACGGACTTGATTATTGAAACACCCTTAAAGTTATGAGTAGACTCTTTAAACCCGACAAAGAGTGAGCTCATAAGAAAAGTAACGTGAATCCGCTAAACAGACCTCATATATGTTATCAATCAATCTGAGTATGAAAAGAACAAAATTTTGTAAACACCCAATAGCAGTACCAGCCCCCTGGTGACCGAGTCACCACACCAGTATGTTGTATTCCTAAATTGTGATTCTCCTTCCCTCGTCATGCTTTTGAATAGATTTGCTTCTTTTGGTACATTGCAGCATACATACGGCAATAATTAATTGCTTCATTAATTACACACCCACAGTCATAATTCAACCAATTCTGCTCGTACCCACTAAATCATTGTTCAAAAATTTCCCAATTCTTTTTTTGTTTTTGAAAAAAAAAAAAGTTTAACATAGATAAAGAGGTGGGTGTAGAGCTGAAAGTCAATTTCCACCAGCTGGTTTGTTCTTTCTTGCGTGGCTCTGAGGTCTCTCACTGTAAGCGAGCTCACATACAGGTGAGAAATGAGAAATTCAGCAATGGGTCTTGATCAGTTCTTGGTTATGTTTTTTTTTTGTGTGATTTCAATTTTCTCATCTGGGTGTTACATTTTTCTCTTTGTTTGTTGTTTTGCTTTCGTATGGGTTCTAATAGAAGCCAATGGAGAGAGAATTAGGTTGATCAGAGGTGAGAGAAGGTGTTTGTATGCAGGGAAAAAAAACCCAAGAACTCAGGTATATATGCATTAAATTTTCATGGAAATTTGGTATAATTGATTTTAGTTTGTACAATAATTATCTATAGATGTATTAAAGCAATGCATTAATTTGAATTTTTTGCCAATTATGTTGTCGTGTTTAGATCCATCACCCCCAAAGTTGAGCACATAGAATTCTCTCTCCTGTCTCTCTCTCTTTCTCCCTCCCTCCCTCGCTCTTTCTCTCTCCTTTTTTCTCAACATTTTATTGGGTTACGGAAAATCAAAAAGAAATACTAATGAGAAATTAAGAATTCCACATATCCAATGTAGCATTTGAAACATCCAACTTGAAAATGATGTTTTCATTTTTTATTTTGAACATTGACATCTTATGTTTGTATAGGCGGCAACTGATTGTTTAATTTTTCCTGCCTTTTCAGTGACACAGCTCTTTAGAAGGGTTGTATTTGGCTGTTTTCAGCTCATCTTTCAAACCTTGATTTGAATATACAATTTGTAAGTACACCTATTCGGCAGATACCATTAAATTGATTGATTAGTTGTTTAGAGTAGGATTATCTGACCTTTTCAATGGAATTTTCTGTCATAGAATATGTCTCAAGACAGTCATAGATCAGTCAGGTACAGATCATTCTTGACTTGCGATGACCCGAAAGGTGTGGTTGAATGTAGGACAATCAGAAAATCCAAGACTGATATCCCGAAAATGGAGATTAAGGTTGAAAGCCGAGGAATGCAGAAGGATTCGAGTACGCCTTCTTCATTGAACCTGGAAAAAAGAAAGGACAAGGTCTCTAATAAAGGGTCCACAGAAGAGTTACATAACCCATCTTCCTTCCAGCTCATGGAGGTCTGTAGAGGAGCTCAGAAACTGAACCAAGTCATAGATTCATGGTCTAAGAGGACAAGTTACGAGGAGAAGCCGAAAGATATTGCAAAAGACTTGTTGAAGGGAGCTCTTGATCTACAGGAGTCTCTAATCATGCTTGGCAAGCTACAAGAAGCTTCTCAGTATATGGCTAAGTTGAAGAAAAAGCAAAAGGAAAAAGGTTCTGGAGGAACGGTTGATGAAGTGGGTATTGAAAGAACAAATTCCAATCGAAGAGCTGATGCAGTGGGGATTGAAAGAACTAATTCCAATCGAAGAGCTGATGCAGTGGGGATTGAAAGAACTAATTCTGATCGCCGAGATGAAGTAAGGATTGAAAGAAATAATTCCGATCGCAGAGCTGAAGTGGGGATTGAAAGAACTAATTCCACTCGATTCAGAGATCGCAATTACATAATGGAATATCAAGAACCAAGACTTTCTGTTGATGGTTCTTCAAGGGATTGCTATGAAGAGCTTAGGAAAGCGATTAGAGATGGTCTTGCTAAACAAAATCTGTTGCCAAAAGATTCCTCAGAAGAAAAGGAATTTGATAGAAGAAAATTGGAAACATCGCCAGACAACCTGTACATTAGCTCTAGCCAATCCTCAATGGATCACTCCCATGAGTTTACCTCATCTGATTGTTCATCATCAAAGGTTCAACAGGAGAAGCCAAAAGGCTCAAATTTGATTGCCAAGCTTATGGGTCTGGAAGAAATCCCCTCAAAACCATTGCAATCCACTTCCCAGAAACAGTTAGAGAGAGACAATATTTTGAGTCAGAGGCGACAGATCTTTGACATCGATAAGCCAAAGGCAAGGAAGCCTCACTTTGTTGTTGAAAAGGTGGATCCAAAGCGGAGGACATTGGAAGAAATAATCGAAACTATGCAATTCAAAGGACTTTTGAAAAGTAATTCTGCTAATGGGTTAAAGCATCAAACGCATTGTTCAAATATCTCCGATTTGAGAGAGTGGTTTGTGGATGATGCCCCACCCATTGTACTCATAAAACCTCTGAATGTTCCATGTCTAGAGGCAGAAGAGCCTCACACAGATAAATTTGCTCACGATGAACGAGCATTGGACACTGAAGAGAAGCTTACAAAAGGGAAAGCAAAACAAAAGTTTTCACCACAGACCATCGACCATTGGGATAAAGCTTTGAATTCCCATGAGATGCTAATGAAACCGCAAGCAGGAAAAACTCCAATCAAAAGGCTTAGCCAGGAAAAAGGAGGTACAAACCATAAAGATGTAATTGCAAAACAGCATGACAGAAAAGTCAAGACTAAGAAAGCGTTGTCTTCTACTGAGTTGAAAGCTTCTACTCCGGTGAGTTCCAATCTTCAGAAGAAGGAACCGAATGAGAAAAAAATTGATAAAATCCAAAAAGCCGCACCTGGTGGAAGGAAACCTTTAGAACTGGAGAATATGAACTCTAAAGGTGTTTCTAAACATCTTGATCAAGGCAAAGTGACCTCTATGAAAGTAAGGAGGCCCGAGAATAGATCCAACATTTCAAAGAATGGGACTCCACAGCAAAAAAATGCTACTCCAAATTCCACTGCAAAACGCAGAACAGCAACTGTATCTCATAACTCCTGCAATCAGAAGAAGAATGTGAAAAATGAGAAGAAAGTCAGTGAGCCTTTCGAAACTAACGTGAGTCTTCCTTATTGTCCATCTTTTAGTCGTAATGACTTTCCTTTGGAAACTCTTCTTTCTGATTTGTACATCTAGTTATTGCTATATAGGGTATGAAATGAACAAAATTGGATTTTGTTCATATAGCAGTCACTTGAAAAAGGACCTTTTTTGCTTGCATAGGTTAATTCAATATGCCATTGCAGGTTGAAAATATAGGATGCCATACTGATGAAATGCGGATTGACCTTAATTGTGAAAATGAGTCTGATATGGTAGCTACCAACAAAACACCTGCAGTGCAGCTCCTTACTGACGAAGGGGCAGATGCTTCTGAAACTCTTAACAAAGGTATGGCACATGCTTTATCAATTTCTCTGGTTTCGGTGACAAAATTTGATCGTCAATTCTATGTAATGTCTTATACCTTAAAACTTTTAGTTAGTCATCTTATTCAGAATAATGGGATTCTACCTCTTCATTAGCAAAATAAAAATATGAAGTTCCAGGATGATAACTGACCTTGCATGGTATTAAATAAATAAACACTTAAGTTACACACTTCTATATAAGCTTATGCTTCGAAGGAGTTGGTGACCAATACTATGTAAGATTCTGAAAGTCCTGAGTTTTGAACCACTCCAACAACACTATATTAATACACGACACAATCACGAGGATGGACAACCAATAGTGCCACAGTCGAATAATACTATTAGAGAAATAAATGTCACATCCCTCTCTATAAGCTTAGGCTTTTAGAAATGTGTATGCATAGACAGAGAAGGAAGAAGTAACATTAGGCTGGACACCAAGTTCATCATCACCTCCTCTTAAGCCTCTGGCTTATAGGGGTCATAAGCTAGCAATTCAGTTAAAATGATGCAAATGCACTTTCTCTGCCCACCGATCCTGTATAGTTGTTTGAGCTGACTTAATACCTTCAATTGCAGAAAATTGTGGTAACATCCAGAATTCTCCTTGTGAGGCTGCCCTGCTGACCCCGCAACATGAAAGCAACACATTTACTGGCGAAGCTGACTGTTGCATCACCCAACATGAAACCGAGAAGAAAAGTGACCAAAGCAGGTCCAATGAAAGAGATTTACTTTTGAGCAGTGCTTCTTTCATTAGTGATGCAGAGGAGCTCTTTGATATCACTGTCTGTAAACCTTTAATTTTCCCAGCTAGTTTACAGGATTCTGATATCGCCAACACCAGAAACTTGTTGGACTGTGCTAATGAGCTACTGGAACATAAAAGCCTACAATGCCCTCAAATCATTCATCCATTGTTACGAAAACCTATCAAGAATTCCAGAATTTATATCTCCCTCGACCTGTTGGTGGAAGAGGTTTGTGATGAGATCGAGAGTCTGAGAGGCTATAGTATGCTTGCTGAAAAGAGGCTTCCTGTTGATACTGTTAATGTGGTGGTGGAAAGAGATTTATTGTGCAAGGCAGTGGTGAGTGGAGCATGGGGTATGGGCTGGAGGAATGGTTTTACTTCAGATGAAGTTGGACAAGTTGAGGTTGAAATAGGGAAGCTAATTATAAGTGAGCTGATTGAGGAGCTGCTTACAGATTTTGTGCTTTAGCATGTTGTACATGTTTGGATCTGTGGGTTTTAAAGGCTTATCTTGCTATTTCCTGTAAGTATTTTCATAACATCTATAATTAACAGTGGAAGGAAGAGTCGAAATTTTGATTATTGACTAGCAGTGGTTAATCATATGTTGAAGATTATATTATTGAACAGTCTGACTAATATTTCATTACGGTCAACAAACAGTATGAGCTGCAAGGTACATTGGTCAATGTTTCACAATTACCTTATCCCGCACAAATTGTCTACCTCTAACTATTCAATACTCTTATAAAAAAAATTGATAATATCTGAGCGTTTCCATGGCCGAATCCACTTGGAATTTGATAAATGCATTGTTTGTGAAGTAAGTGTTTGTGTATGTCCTATAGATCTACTTTTTGTTGATTGGAAATTAGAATCTGATATTCAAAAGAAATGATTGTTGAATTACAGTATTTATTTTGGAATTTGTATATTTTGTGGTGATTGCGTTGAGTATTGTCCAACAAATTGTTTATCATATGAATTTTCTACATAGGATCGTCACGAATTGAATTATAATCAAATTGATTGGCTCCCAAAAAGGAACAATTCTTGATGATAGAAAAATATGGTTGTGAATTTTGTGATTGCAGGTTAGAATTAATGGGTTCTTGTGGACTATTAAAGGCAGAAAGCTAATTTGAGTGTAGTTAAGAGCAAATCTGGAAAAATTTATGGATTGCAAACATACACATGATATAAACACATTCTTTTACCCTTGTATTCTGTATTCTTCCCTTCACATCCAAATTGCGTATGCAATTGTATTGTTAAGAGAGTAAATATACTCTGAATGCTACGTATATTGATAAGTAGTGCGACTTTTTGCCCTTTTTATACTTCTTTTCGTTCATAATATTTATGGTTTCTAACTTATTTTTCAATCTACTATTTTTTTTAACATAGAAGTGTAGGTTTGACCCACGCTTCCAATGTAAAAGTATTGATTTGGCTCAATGTGTTATGCAAACACGCTTTTATGTTGACAAACGCAAGTTTAACCTACACTTCTATATAAAGAACGATTCAATGAAAACAAAAGCTACAAATCACGGTTTTTGGGAGAATATATACCAAAAAGTAGGTGTAATTTTTAAGTTGTTTTCAAAATATTGCTCTCAAACATCAAAACTACACCTCACTCCACCTTGAGAATTGCCACAGTTATTGTTGATATGGGGTTTGATGGGACAAGAAGCGACGCTCATATCAAGATGTGATACGTGGATATGAACAATACTACACTAAGGGGATAAGTGGTCTCGAGGAAATAGGCCTTTGGTGCCATGGAAAAGTAGGGGATTCCAGGCTCAAACAATTAATGTTGTGTAGGTATGTGGGATCCCACGATGTGATGTACTATAAGAAATGATTATTTGCACAGACACATCACATTAAGTCACAAGTCGAATATCGAAAAATATAAATAAAGGTATAACCCTTACTAACTTAAATTGTTTGAGGACGTTTATATTTAATGTTTGACGTCAATCTAGTAATTGTGCAGTGCAACTCAATGAATACTGACAAAAATTATTAAATGCTTCGGGTACATACACTAAATATTTGGTCCCAAGAGTAAGGCAATCATTATAAGACTAGGTCTCGAGATACTACCAACCTTTCCCAAACTTAGTAATTTCATGACTAGAAGAAAAGTAACTATTGATTGATTGTCTAAAGGGGGGTTGTCAGCCGGCTCGATGGGACCCGAGAATACCATGCCATCACATCTGAAGGTATAAATAGCTCAAAGAATGGGTTCTCAGGTATGCATTCAAGGCCATCCTAGCACAATAAAATTTGATCCTTCCTTTGGGCACTTATTGACTTACCATTGGAGAGAATAAGTTGAACACGTCTTCGACTTCCTTCTAACCTTGTTCCTTGTTTTCAGGACACTCGGGCTGCCTCACCCTTGGTGCTTCTATCTCAAACTATAGCGCAGAAAAAACACCACGGCAGATGAAGCATAAGTTCCCCATTTTTGGAAGGTTGGAATATTTCCTAGGAATTGCAACGAGGCTGATTTGGACCATTTGGTTTGCTTAATGAAGTATGAGGGACAACTTGACCCAGACAACACTCCAGTTTCTGCTTTTCTCTGTGCTAGCTCAGGATTTAGACCAGGCTTAGGTCTAGTTCATGGGATGAGCCCAAATCATCACTAAGGCATGTCAAGCACAACTCATGGATGCGGCCCGATCCAAAATTCAAGAAGTCCAAAGAAATTAGAACACATGAGAAATAATTACTGAAATAGTCACTTTCCAAGATCAAGATCATCTCTAATTGTACATATCTTTGGCTATAGCTATCTTTCCAAAGGATTAGTCTCCTATCATGTCACGCCACCGCCTCAACTAATATTCTATGTCTATAAATTGTAAACTCTCTCTATATGAAAGGAAATCTCCCTATACATTTTACACAATTATCTCTCTACCAAGAGCATATCCTTGCTCTTTCTCACCTACTAATTCATCAATAAAGACCACCGACCAACTATTATACATCAGTGTGTTCACTATGTTGATCTCATCTTATATTTATTGTATTTATTACCTACATTAATTACTCGACAGATAGTGTATAAATTCACTTTTGTGCATTATCATATTCTGTTATTTTTTTTTTGCCATTTTTTGGTACCCTATTTTGTTACCCAGCAAAATTTTTTAAAAAAAACTGAGCATGAGACAGACAATTCAAAATTTAATGGCTAGCCTACCATTTCAAGCACTTTTTCAGTTTTTCTAACACTCTACATACGTATAGATCATACAAACAAGTCTATCTCTCTCTCTCTCTCTCTCTCTCTCGATGATATATTGAAGATTTAAGAAGAGGCTCCTTTGAAGACAAGAAAATTGAGGGTTTCCACTGCAAAATAGATAAAAGTCCCTTTTGAGTGAGTGAAGAAACAGCCAAAGTTTGAACCCACAACACATTGCCATCCACTCCCATGTATCTTGTCAAATTCCTGATAATTTAAGAAACCCACAAAAACATTCAGAAAACCAAGAAAGAAACAAAAAAAGACACACACAGGAAGAGAGAGAGAGTTAAGTACCTTCTTGATATGAGCAGCAATTGATGTGCAGTCAAATACATCATACAGATCAAGAGCTTGAGAAGCAGAAGCCATAGCATGAATCTGCATCTTCACTGACATGTCTGTTTCTTTTACCTGAGCTTTCCCTTCTAGCATTCTCTCTCTCTCTCTCTCTCGATCATCCAATTTAAAAGAACATTGTCCCTATGTATATCTGACTGATGTAAGAAAAGTGAAGAATCTACAGGATTCAAATATAGAACACAAACCATGACTAGAAACTTCTATTTCAGCTTTCTCCGTTTCACACTTCAATTCCAATCCTTTATGAAGGAATCACGGCGTTGGAAATTGGAATAATTCCAGCCACCCACGTAAAGTGCCAACATTTTTGTTCTTTTTCGTAGACTTTGACCCCCATGAATTAGCAGTCAATAAAAGTGGTTGTGAATAAAATGACACCATTTACCAAGGTTAAAAACACTCCAGTTAATCATTATTGTGGTGATATATATGTTATTATGGTACCTGTTCATGCAAAGTGGTGGCAGTTATAATCTCACATCAGTTAAATATAAAATTAAATGTGAATATATAAATTCTTAAATATTTTCTCTTGCAATTCAATTCAATTTTTAAGGATAAGTTTTATTAATGAGGTCATAACAATGGTGGTGTTTACCAATAAAGATCGTCTTATACTCAAGTCAAAAACTTTCAAAGATTCAAAATAGGCCCTGAGTTATACCAGATAACTTCAAGTCAATCCAAGTTATCTGAATTATCGTTATTGAATCGGTTGATATGGTTCTATAACCTAAATTAAATTACTATAATATTATATACTTCTTCTTTTATTATATTTCGTGCATATCACTTGATATCTGTAGGTTTTGATAGAAACAAAGTATAGAAACTCTCAGGATGCAACAAAACGTTGAGGCATCTAAAGTCATTATTTTACTAAGCTTCAAAGCACTTATTTATGCAGCTAGCTTAAAACAGAAAAACATAAAAAGTGCAGCTTAATTTGCTACTTGCAGATACCTCCTAAAAAATAGCAACAAATCTGCTACCTATAGATAATTCCTAAAGAATAGAACCAAACTAACAAATACTTCCTAAGGAATAGGTAAATCTTTCACATGACTACTTATTTGACTACTTCCACTTTAATCTACTCAGCTCCATGTCAACAGCTCCTAGGACATGTCATTCAACACTCCTCCTTGTCTCTGGAGCTGCAGACTCCAAGCCTTTGCCTCAAGAACTCATATCTAGCTTTGGGAAGTGGCTTGGTTAAGATATCAGCATTCTGATTTTCTGTTTTACAGTAGACCCGTTGTATTTCTCCCTCCTTCTGTACCTCTCTTAGGAAATAGAGTTTCAGCTTGAAATGTTTTGTTTTGCCATGGAACACCGGATTATTTGCAATTGAAATCGTAGCTTGGTTGTCTACGAGTATTTGTGTGCTTTCTTTTTGCTCCATAAACAAGTTAGCCATCAATTTCTTGATCCAGAGAGCCTGATTCACAGCAGCAGCTATATATTCTGCTTCTGCTGTGGATTAAGCTATGACTTTTTGCTTTTTGAAACACCAAGAAAAAATAGCAAAACCAAAGTTGAAACAATAACCTGAAGTACTTCTCATGTCATCAACACAACCTGCCCAATCACTATCTGAATAACCATGGAGAGTGAAATTTTTAACTTGACAAAACCTCCTACCATAGTCAATTGTACACTTGACATATCTAACAATTCTTTTTGCTGCTTGAAAGTGAATTTCACTAGCACAATGCATGTACCTTGAGAGTAAACTTACAGCATTCATAATACCTGGTCTAGTTGTCATTAGGTACATCAGGCACTTGATAATGGTCCTGTAAAGCCTTTCATCAGCTTTTGCAGCTCCATCTTCTTTGCAAACCTTCTCATTTTGATTCATTGGAGTTGCGCTTGGATTGCGCTCTTCCATCTTAAACTTTTTCAGGATTTCCTCGGCATATTTCCATTGACATATGAAGATCTCATTTTGCTTTTGTTGTACCTCCATGCCAAGAAAGAATGTCATCCTCCCAAGATCAGTCATCTCAAAAACATCCTTTATTTCCTTTTTGAAATTGTCAGTTTGCTCCATACTGCTTCCTGTCACAAGT